TGGAGAGGAACCCCATCCCGATGATGCTGAGTCCCTTGCCACTGGAACACTTCACTAGGTTAAGTACCACCCTCTTTCAGGAATAACCAATAGACTTGTGTCAGATGATGCTAAACAATCCTCCTTACCCTATCGTACTAGGAGGTTGCCCCATCAATTAAGCGCTGACGTATGAGAGGAAGAAAACATATTTTCACATTATCCCACAACCATCCATTCCACAATGTCATGCAGACCAATAAAATACAATAAGAGGCAAGAACTGAAATCCCAAGAACCGCCTCCCAATCCCCCAGGCATATCCTAGGACTGACACGTGACAAGCCAGATACAATGCAATGAACTGATATTTAAAATTTTAACTTACATTTATACAAAACTGGGGCCAATCTGGGCCCGGTAAACACATGAGTCCACCATTGAGCCGAGCCATCATAGGCTGCTCGTATCCAGCTCCGACATCCGAAATCATACCATAATCATAGCAAGCCGACTGTCGGTTACAGCTGGTGGCATACGGGCCACGTCCCAGCGTATAATCATCATCCATAGTTGGCGGCTCACTGACCACAAATAATCATCATCAATAGTAGCTGGCGGCACACTGTCCACTTCCCAGCATATCATCATCCATAGTCAGCGGCTCACTGGTCACATCCCAGCACATAATTATCAGCAGTAGCTGGCGGCAACACTGTCCACGTCCCAGCATATCATCATCAGTAGCTGGCGGCACACTATCCACGTCCCAGCATATCATCATCAGTAGTTGGCGGCACACTGTCCACGTCCCAGCATATCATCATCAGTAGCTGGCGGCACACTGTCCACGTCCNCACGTCCCAGCATATCATCATCAGTAGTTGGCGGCACACTGTCCACGTCCCAGCATATCATCATCAGTAGCTGGCGGCACACTGTCCACGTCCCATCATATCATCATCAGTAGGTGACGGCACACTGTCACGTCCCAGCATATCACCATCAGTAGCTGGCGGCACACTGTCCACGTTCCAGCATATCATCATCATCTGTAGCTGACGGCAACACTGTCAGCGTCCCAGCATATCGTCGTCATCTGTAGCTGGCGGCAACACTGTCCACGTCCCAGCATATCGTTGTCATCTGTAGCTGGCGGCAACACTGTCCACGTCCCAGCATATCGTCGTCATCTGTAGCTGGCGGCAACACTGTCCACGTCCCAGCATGAAATCATCGTCTGAAGCTGGCGGCACACTGTCCACGTCCCAACCTGTCTCTTATACACATCTAGATGTGTATAAGAGACAGGTCCACGTCCCAGCATGAAATCATCGTCTGAAGCTGGCGGCACACTGTCCACGTCCCAACATATCGTCATCGTCTGTAGCTGGCGGCACACTGGCCATATCCCAACATATAATTATCCCGAGGTTGGCACACTAACCACGTCCTTACCAATGTTGAGGGCACACTGGCCACGACCCAGCATGTTCAGGTTGATGCTAGACGGGTCTAGGGCCTCGCCCCATCAATTTGCCCGAACTCGAAATCAAATCTGCATCTCTGAGTATGAATTTTCGGAGCCGGGAGCCGGACACTATACCATAGGATTTTGTTCCATCAATCGCTACTAACTCATAGGTCTTGCCTTCAACCTCTCTGAAGATCCTGAAAGGTCCCATCCACCTGGCCTCCAATCTCTTGGTCCACTGCGTCTCGAGAAATGTATCATGCAGAAGTACAATATCCCCGACCTGAAGTCGTTCCTTTCTGATGTACCTCTTGCTGTTCCATCGTGTCTGGTCAGATAACCTGCTGTCTGACATCCTCTTTGTGGCCTCGATTATGGCCTCATCCACTTCCTTCATCCGCCTGATCCTCAATCTCAGCAACTCCTGTGTGGAGTATGACTCTCTCTGTGCCTCATGGGTCCATGTCTCAACCAAGTTCTCAATGGGAGAAGTAGCATACCGGTCGTACCAGAGTGTAACAAGTGCATAACCTGTAATCCGTTTGACAGTCCAATTGTCAGCATAGACAACCGCTCTCAAGAAGGATGGTCAGCTTCAGGAATCACCTCGGCACCATTTTGATATAGCATCCTTTAGAGTCCTGTGACCTCTTTCCACTGGTGCATTAGCCTGAGGATGATATGGTGTCACAAATCTGACTCTGACTCCAAGTCTGAACATGAGTTTTCTGACCATCTCGTTCTTGAATTTCTATCCCTGAGCAGCCACAAACTCACGTATGAAGGGGTACCTTAGGTAGATTTCCTCGATACAATCTGCCACTGTTTTAGCGGTTTTCTTACGGATGGCGTTTGCTTCAACATAACCAGACATATTATCTCTCATATTTAGTATATATTTCATTTCATCCTTACCAGGTGGCATAGTAATTAGATCAAGGTGAACAGTACTACCAGGCTCAACAAGAACAGTGAGGTATAAGGGTTCAATCTGTCTCATAGATGATCTTTTCTGACAGGCTTCACACGACTTACAGTATCTCATAACTATATCCCTCAGACTATCCCAGTGATATAATCGAGATACTTTATAGTATGTAGTATCAACACCCCTATGACACTCTACTAGACCTTCATGCAGCGCGGCGATCACATCTAGTTGCCTTTCTCTTCCACACATCACTCTCAGCGGCGGTAATCCTTCCTTAGCATCCACAAAAAGGTGACCCCTACGTAGTCTAAAGGTCCTCTTTGTTTTCTCATGGTAGAACTCGTTCAAGTGATTATTGCCCATCACCATACCGATCCTCTTATATTCTCCATCGTATTCTTTCTTTCTAAACCTTCCCTCATCATCCTTACTCTGTTCTAAATCTTCTGACCCATCCTCTATCTCATTCAATCGACGCTTAACCATTCTTGAACTCTCAGCCAGCTCATGGGTTGCAACATCGGTCTGTTTTACCATCCCATACCACCCTTCTTCCTCATCCTCTTGAATCAAGAGGTAGTGGAGGTAGGGATCTTCCTTTTCTCCCCAGCAGTCTTCCCTACTGGTTGCCATAGTTGAGGCCGTATAACAATTGGGAGCAGGAGGTAGCCTTTCATCATCGTCCCCCATAAGGAATTCGTCAACGAAAGGTGCCTCCTCAAGAGATTCATCATCTATCGATCCTCATTCCACGCGGCTTAACCCATCAGCTCTATTCTTATCAGTAGGTACCTTTTCTAATACAAAACCATACGTCCATTTATGAGTTATCCACCTACTGACCGTAGCATCTATTTGCTGATGTCTCTTAACAACCGCAATTACTGCCGTGGAATCCGTTCTTATGATGAATCTTCGTCTCATAATGTAGTTTCTGAACACTCTGAGACAATGCAGGATTGCCAGAAGCTCCTTCCTAAACTGGATATAGCCTCTCTCAACCGAATTAAGGGTGCGACTCTCAAATCTAAGTGGCCTTTCTTTACCATTCTCATCTCGCTGCACGAACACTCCTCCTAATGCTATCGGGTCGCCGTTAGCTTCAATGATGAAGGGCCGCTCCCTTTCATCGTCGAAGTAAGGTACTCCTAATACGACCCCGCCATCTCTTAACTTATCTTGAAGTGTCCGCGCAACCTTCTCTCTTTGGTCAGACCACTCTAAGCTAGCTCCTTTTCGTACCATCTCTCTAAGGGGCTCGACTATCTTGGCAAACCCGGGGATGAAGATCTGCCGGAAGTTGCAGACCCCTAGGAAGCTCCTTACTTCCCCAACCGTCCTTAGAGGCATAAGCCAGTTCATGATTTTATCCACCTTCTTAGGATCGGGGTTTCTCCCTTCCAAACAACTGAAACCCAAGATCGTTACCTCCCTTTGGAACAGTAGTGATTTCGGTCCGCTAGCTGTTAGATTGTACATAAACAACCTTTCTAGTACTTTCGCCACTCCCTGCGCATGTTCCCACACTAACCGCCTAACTCGACCATCCACTAAGGTCTCATCTTTTTCCTTCGGTCCTTTAACTAGATTGTCATCGATGTATGAGAATGTTACCTCTGGGCATATGTCCTCCATGACCTTCAGCATGTCTCGCTGGATAACTGCGACCCCATTCGTCCACCCTTGAGGCACCACACACATTTGTATGAGGCCCCTAGGTGTGTGCATGGCGGTCATAGGTCGACTAGTAGGATCTATGGGAAACTGGTCATAGCTAGAGTACAAGTCTACTAGGGAGTAAATGCTTCTTCCAGCGAAAGACTCGGCCAACAAATCCGCGTTCGGTAAGCTACCCGCATCGTGAACAGTTACCGAATTCAACTTCTGCAAATTTTGTATCCAGCGCAGACCTCCTCCTGGCTTCCAAAAACAAAACCAGTGATTGGCATAAGCACCATCCGCTGGTTCTGCAACGTTGGATGCGATTTTCTGGTTTATGTACTCCATTACTTCTTTTTCTTCCTTTTGAGCATATTTCGTGGGTCTATCATTCCAAGGCGTATGAGGGACGGTCCAAATCTTGACCATCTTGATCATGTCAACGTCTAGTCGTCCCCTCCCCTCATCATTAAAGGAAAAGGCACCATTGTACTCTTGACATAATTCACATATGAAATCTCTCTCAGCCGGCAGGAGGAGGTCATCGGTTCCTACCTTCATTATCTTGAACCTTTCTGGTAATCCTTCTTCCTTTTAATGCAGCCTCTCTTAACCCTTGAATTATCTTCCTTTCCTTCTCTAATGCTTCATTATAGTCCTTTTCTATCAAGACTACCACCGGATTCTTCTTAACCCCCTTACGCTTATACTTCCTCTTAGATCCGGTGACCATTTTCCTAAAAAAGGTCCAGTTGCAGAGAAGGTGAGTTGCATCGTATCAGCTTTTGCCGCCCTCACAACATCCTTGAATCCTTCCATCTCTCTTTTGTCACCCAACTCCTTTTCTTTATCCAGGAGCTTGAGCATCTTACCGATATCATTTGCTCTAATCGTTGTCTTCTCGTCTATTATTCCATTTTTTTTCAGCTTTGCTCGTACTTCCTCAATCAACTTGTCAGATTCTTTATGCTTAAGAGAATTAACATGTCGCTGATGACGAGGATGATGTCTGTCACTTATCCCAAAAGCCTGTTCTTGATCATTGTTAGGATCCTGGAGCGAAAGTCAGGCCGCCCCATCATGGTCAAAGAACGCGCAAGCCTCCATTCTATGTGGGAAAGGGGCTCCGAGAATGCAGTCATGATCCAAGTTGGGGACCACAAAACAGAGGATCTCGGCCCGTAAAGTCCCAATTCGGATAGGTAGATCATCAATGAATCCCTCCAATGGTAGGAATCCGGCTATATTGGAGAGCTGGTGGTTGACTTTCCTATCTATTCCAAGCCCACATGATCTCATCGTGGCCGAGAACATAAGCACCATCTCGGCCCCAGAGTCCATTAGGGCTCTAACCTTCACGTCGTTTACGAAGATATTCAAGTAGTCACACGACATGTTGCCAAACCTCATCTTGGTCCCAGGCGAGGCTCTTTCCACATGCTGAGGGAAGAGTCCTAGGCTATTGATTTCTACCTTCCGCCTCTCAACCATCTTTTTGAGCGCTTCCCTAAACTTTGGCACCAAGGCTACTGCCTCGTTCCAAGATAGAGTGATCTCGGTTTCCTCAAATAGTTTCTTTACTACTTCATCTATCGAGACACCCTTCTCGACCTCAGATCTCAAGACCACCTTCCTCTTTTTCCCTGCAGCTTCCTTTCCTTTCCCTTCCTTCACTAGGTCCTTGGTCCCATCAATCAACTGGTCTAGCTCTCTTTGAGCCTTCTCCCGCTTTTTCTCATCAACCTCTCTGTGGCTAATATGGGATACATTCAGGTTTTGGTTTCCAGGATTGTCGTCTCGAGCCACTATCTCCGGAGGTAGCATACCGTCAAAGGTGACAACATTAACCCTAGCCTTTTTTTTTTTATCCTTATTGACCTTAGCCTTTTCTAGGATAACTGCTCGCATTCCTCCTTTGACTCGGAAGTCTACCTTGTTCCAATTGGCATCACAGATGTGCCCATTGGCATTCTTCTTGACAATCCCTTCTTCGAGTTTTTTCTCTAGTGTTGGGCACCGGGTTAGAGTATGACCTTCCTCGTCACAATAATAACATCGGAAGGGGCCATCTCTCCTTTGCCAATCTCAGCTCTTATTATCTTTCTTCCAGTCCCGGTCGCGCTTCTTCTTTTGCCTCTCTTTTCTCTTTCGCTTAGCGTCTTCCTCATCACTACTCTCGCTCTCACTCTCACTCTCTTCCTTTTGCTTCTCCTTCTTTCTGTCTTCCTTACCTTCTTCGACTCCAACAAGTGCTTGAGTTGCTGGGGCAGGAACGGTTAACTTTTCAAAGCTACCAAGCTTAACAAGAAGACCAAGGATCTCATCGGCCTTCAAGTTTCCTCCCGTAGCTGCCTCAACATTTCCTTCTCTTGCACTAGTGATTGCTTTCATCTGTTCCAAAGACCATTTTCTGTTGGACACGGAAGGCAGCTCACGGACCATCTCAACCACTTCATCCCACTTCAGAGGGTAATGGGCAGCGCGGCTAACCACACTCTTGCTCTCGTCCTCTGCGAAGTTCGTCAGTGGGACATGACACTTATGGGCTGCATCTAGGAAGGGTACTCTCCGCGCAACCCGCTCGAAGTCTTCTTGAAATTGGTCGAGGGTAGCGTACTTGGAGCGTCGCACTTCCAACAAATTTTGCATGGTCGTTGGGACGTCATACTTCGCATACTCTTCCAGCATCTTTTGCCTAACCTCGACCCATGTTGTCAGCCCTTGTGTCGTCTTTGTCACTGACACCCTCATCTTAGGCTCAACACAGGCGAGCAGAGCTTTCAACTTTTGTTTGTCCGACCAACCGTGACTCATACCGAAGACATCATAATCCTCCAAGAATTCCCTAACCTTGGTTCCATCAAAGCAGGGTATGTTCTCTGGAGGTACCTTAGCCCTTGGAAGGTCCAGACGGATATTTATAGTGTCCATCCCGGTCTTCATGGCCTCTATTCGGTTCAACATCTCTCGAAGAACCACGGTAGTGGTCACTTCTCCATCCCCAGCAGAGGAACTAGCACGGCTCTGCCGTGCGTTCGGTCCTTTGACCATCATGTCTAGTTTACCGATTACGCTCCTACTTCTTCCTAAACCTTTTCTCTCTTATGATTGCGTTTAAAATTGGTTCCCAATTCCTGCCGTCAGTAAAACTTTCTGGCAGATGGGGCTCATGAAACATATCAAACACAATCGGTGTCAAGTTACTAACTACTCTTATCCCTTTTCTTTCTAATTCGGTCTTCTTTTGGTTAACTATATTACTAATCCAACTTCGAAGAGACTCACGATCTGTCCCTTTCTCTCTCAGTGAGGGAACATAGGGCTGGATATCGTATTCACCAGTGTCAAGGAACTTCACTACAAGGACATACGCCTTCCCAGGTGCATGTTTCTCCTCCAGGGATATGCCGCGCTCTATCTTGTAGGAAAAAACTCCTCCACTGGTAAAAGGAACTAAGGCATCTAGTGTCGCCGTGATTCTTGGGCAGTATCCAGACATTGCCTAACCCCTAGCGACCCCCATGATTCTTCTTTATCTTCGATCCGTCTAATCCCATCCAGTGCCTACTAAGTCTTCCGACCTGAATCGTCAATGTTGACAATGCTCCACTTCCTATTTCTCAAAACAGCATTAAGGATAGGCTCCCAGTCCTCGCCGTTGACGAAGCTATTCGGAATAAGAGGAGTTGGGAAATTCTCATACTCAGTAGGCTCCACACTCCAGGTAGCTTTCTTACCTTCCTTCTTGAGTTCGTTCCTGTAGACGTGTCTGAGTGCCCACTCGTGACATCCAGTATACCGCCGCCAAATTTTCTTAGTCACTGGGGAGTATATACGCACGTCATACTTGTCGGTCTCTAGGAAGCGAGTTACTAACACATACACTTTCTCCTCTGCTTCAGGTATGACCAAGACAGTGTATCTCTCAATCTCATAAGGAAACGCCCCTCCTACCGTGAAGGGCTTTAAATCCCGGAGTAGGCGTGAGATGACTGAAAAATTAATGTCTGGTAATTCCTTTTCTTCAGCCTTCTTCCAAGTATGCCTGCTTCCTAGGAAACTAACATGCCCCTCAGCCATAACACGCTCCTTTCCATTGTCAAGTGAGGGAAAACTCAGTAGAAGTTTCGTCTTGAACTTCAAACCTACGTACAAAGGTCTCAAGAAACAGCGTCTTTGGTCGCATGACTAGGTCATGCTCTCTTGCCTTACCAACCACGGCAATAGCTTCTAGAAGAGGCGCTCAATCTCTCCTGTCAGTGTAGCTACCCGTAGTCAGAAAACTAGGGAGTCTTTCGAATTGCCTGACTCGTTTCCCCCAAGTCACTTTCTCATGCAAGCTTCGAAGTAGCTCCCTTACCCTTGAAAGGTAAATATACACTCTCCTCAGGCAATTCAAATAACCCTCTTCCTCTTCTATTCCTTCGTGAGCATAAGCCCTGACGTCAAGCTCGTCAGTCTTGAGAAATCTGACCACTGGAAGATAGAATACTAAACGCCCTTCCTTACAGACGTCGTGTCTCAATATCTCAAATAGACTGTCAGTCTCAGTTATTTTATCTAACCATCCAATACTAATGGTCACAGTCTCAATTGACATAGAGTTTTCACACTCCAGTATCATTGTCTTGGGCTGCCTCTAGTGCCTCTAGCCAAACTGTCTGCAAGACGCTCTCTAGATAGGATGGTCTCATCTCTCGCATGTAGCATCACTCTCCTGCCATCCGAACTCTTGCAATCCAGCAGATGCCTAATCTTAATCTGACATGTAATTGCTCTAAAAGCAGCCGCTCGTATAAGCTCAAGGTAGTGCTCTACCATGCCAATCTCGTCGTGCCTACCTAGCCTAGTGTTGCATCCTCTCACAGCCTCAATGACAGTCGCTTGTTGTTCGTCTAGATAGACCTCAAAACAGAAGCTCTCTCCATCATCAGGAGTGTAGACATCGATCGGCATAGCTCACCACACTCGATCCCTTAATACCGCGTTGAGGATTGGTCCCCAGTCCTTCCCGTCGCAGAAGCTAGCAGGCACATGAGGGCTTGGGAATCTCTCAAACTCTCTAGGTAGGACACTCCACGTCACTTTTTTTCCTTGTTGTTTCAACAACAACCTTTCATCTAGGATATACTCAGCAGCAACTACCCAACATGCCTCATAATCAATCCCTCTCCTTGTTCCAGCAGATACGTATGGCCTTACATCATACTCATTTGTATCAAGGAATCGGACTACAAGGACGTATAGAATCAGTGAGTCGTTCTCACAAGTCACACACCTCTCAATGACGTATGGGAAGGCACCTCCAGCCGTGATCCTGGAAAGTGTCTTCATTGCTCTAGTTACTGCCGACATGGGCTGCCTACTAACTCTACCTTCTCAACGCTGCATTGATGATTGGTTGCCAGTTCCTACCATCAAAAAATCCTTTAGGTACTGGCGAAGAGGGAATCTTCTCGTAGACTTTGGGCAATAAGCTCCAACTCGCTTCTATCCCTTGCTGTCTCAACTGATCCCTCTCGGTTTTGACACACTCCACTATGACATCCCAATTGGTAAAGAAACTAAGGTCCTGATCAGCCCCTTTTAGGATGTAGGGTCGAATATCATAATCATCAGTGTCAAGGAATCTAGAGACAAGCACATGCACAGTCGTCGTACTTTTTACACAAGTAATGCATTTGACAAACATATAAGGGAAGGCACCACCGCAGGTGACACGAGTTAGGGCTTCTAGGACATTATACTCTTCAGTCATCATCTGGTTTCTGACTTATGGACTTGTCAAGCGAAGGGTCCAGAAAACGAATTCCAAACCCTTACTCGCAGGTCTGAGTCACTTCAGATAGACTTCTGCAAGAGGCCCTCCTCTCGGGCTCCTCTAGCCGAAAAGTCTTTCTGACCTAACCCAGACCTTGTATGAAATATTAGACTGCTGCCTAGTCACTGAATATTGTGACCAAGGTCCGCTCCCAGGAACTCAAAGTTTTTGAGTCCCCGGCAACGGCGCCATTTTTGTCGCGCCCCCACCGTTTCAGGGTCTGGTTCGATGTTCCTCCCCGACCGAGTGGAGTGGGTTGGTGGACTGGCAGACTGTCACGCTGAATTTTGGAGAGTTTTAGAAAAATTAGAAGTGAATTCACAAGCATCCTTTGTCACACAGTCGAGTAGTTAGGGTTATCCCTCCTGCTAGCGGCGACACGGCTTAGAGTGAGGCGTTCGGTTTTATCGCCTGCACCTGACCCCGTATAAAGGTTAGACTCAAGGTCATCGGAGTCCCTATTATCCAGGAGTCCTTCAAGTAGCCTTGAGTGTTACCTATTATGATAAGGAGTGATAAATAACTTGTTACCTCATGCATAAACGTTTCATGCATTACAGGGCATACATCATAAATCAGATAACACTGAGAGGACGAAAAGACCAGAAACCAGACTCTGCAAGAGCATGACCAGACATACGAGACTGAAGAGTAGTACACAAAAAATGGAAGAAGCAGCCATAAAGGAGGGGCTGCAATCACTGATAAATCATAATAATGTCATAATACATCTGAGTGACTAGAATATACGAGCCTCAGTCAATAACAACGAGTGGTACCCCGTCATGAGTGGGCTCGACTGCCTGGGACTCCATATCTGGTACACGCTGGTCCTCCTCGTCATTGAGAACCTGAGTGGCTATCTGGTTCGGGACCACATAGCTGATGTCGAAAGATGCCGCAGGATCGATCTTGCTAATATATGTCATACATCTCGCCATCTCCTCATCCGCGACACTCCGGAGGTACAACTCCTCGGCGAGGAAAATGCTGCCTGTGGCACCGATCAAGATCTCAATCCGTCCCTTGGCGTAGATGTAATCATATGAAACCTCCAGGAAACGGTCTTCATAGAGTGGCTTCCGAAAAACCTGTATAACGAAGTCTGCTCCCACCAAATGATTGTAGTCATCCCCAATATATGGGACTGGTCCCTTCCCCCTAAAAGGGCTGGCTACCTCCTCCGACTTGGGTCCTCCTGACATGTAATGCCTGGGTCAATCACATCAGCAACCCGTCGTAGGGCTGCTTTTGCGTCTCGCTCCAGTGACCAATGTCTTTAGATTCGCAGGGCCTGCTCCAAACTCAAGCGTACTAAGTCTATGTGAGTATCCCAGTCAAAATAGTCTCCCAGGTCAACATCGCTGACACAACAAGGCTCTTGGTCTCACTCGTCCGTCTCTGACCTCTGTAGACAGGTGGTAATAGGTATCCCGAATCTGGCCACCTCGCTCGTGATCCTCCTATCTTGACGCCTCTTTTCCTTGCTGCCACCTCTGCTCAGTGGTTTACGATTACAACCGTCAAAGTCATAGAAGGCACCACCTGGTGCAAAGGAGATCTGGGGAAACACCACATGTAACCACTGTTCCCTCCAGTAACTCTCCCTGCGGAAGATATAGCCAGCAATCTGGTCATAAGTGGTTCCCTTCACTCCCTGTCAAGCGTATCTCACGTGGTAAGTGATCACCAACGTGTATCTCGATGTGGGAGATTAATTGGCCCTAATGACGAAGCTCTGATGTCCAATGTGTCGGTAACAAAACTTCTCAACCAGCTTACCCCATGTGGGGGGTGTCTCATGTTAAGGAGCCAGCTTGACCAACCTGCAAAGTAGAGTAAAAATGCTCCTGACAAGTAGTCATACTGAGCAATGATGTCCCGGCGATAAAGGAGGGATATCAGCAACTAGGGAAAAATAGCCCAACTCGATGGGATCAGAGAGGACTACACCTCAATAGACCCACCAGCCAAACTGGCAACAACCAACTCAATATAGAGGCCCGTCTGAATGTGCCGAGCTGGATCAGCAATCAACTCGATATAGGGGCCTGCCTGAGAGGGTCCGACTAAACATCAACAACTCGATATAGGGGCCCGCTTGAATGGGCCCGGCTGAACAGCAACAACTCGATATAGGGGCCCGCCTGAATGGGCCCGCTTGAACAGCAACAACTCGATATAGGGGCCCTCCTAAATGGGCCCGGCTGAACAACAACTCAGCAACTCAGCAACTCATCATAGCAATATCATATGAGTATCTCTGCAGCAAGTGGACTAGAACATGAGGA